CGTGTCGCAGTAGGTGCTGGCACGAAAAAGATCCCTCACTGCTCAATGACCGTAAGTGCCGAGTATAGGACAAAATTTGCAGCTCTCCACCGGCAAGTGGTGGCGTCTCCATATGAGTGAAAAATTCTCGAGAGGGACGTTAAACAACATACAAACAAACAAAACATCAACAACAACGTAAAATATTACTCTAGAATTCAAACCAGACCTCGGATCGACACCAAATTTGGTACAAATGTAGTATAGACCTCAGAGAAACTTTCTGGAGAGTTTTACGGTGAGTCCTATAATTTTATAGTAGTCTTAAAGTTTCACGGCAAAAACTACAAGTTCTGTTGTGTTTGAAATTAAAGTGCAGGTGAACGAAGAAATGATCTAAACCTTTTATCGGCTATTTCTTCAGATGTCGTTGGTAGCATTCGATTCTCCTGATATGATACGACATTTTAATACCAAGCATTCTCTCTTTCTTTTACATTTGGTATTTATTTGATTTTTATTTAGAATTAATTAGTTTACAGAAATAGCGATTTTAGGTATATTAAAAACAATTCTCGCTTTCGTTGTCGTGTTTCCCTTCTAAAATTGCATGTTGGGAGTTTAATTTGGGCTACACATATTTAATTAAACCCAAAGAAATGCTTATTTAAATGTTTCATCTTTATTTCAGGATATTCAGTCAGAAATGTTGAAATCCGAACCCGATCTTTTAAGCTTACAACGAAGCTATTTACAAAAAAATCAGCATGCTTACAATATCGATGAATCAGGCTACAGTCCATTAATACATTTTCATTAGGGAACAGTGTTAACGTTTTCTCACGCAGCCCGTCCCTTATTATTTTATATACTGCTTGCAAATTCAGGAACTATTTCCTTTTACGGAACTTCTTTCTTCCCCTACCGATTCTAAAAATACGCTTGCATTTCTTCTATAGTCTTAAACAATTAACTTACCAATTTTATCGGAATGCGTAGCGCAGTGGTTAGCGCACCTGCCTTTCAAACCAAGGGTTTTGAGTTTTATCCCAGCTGGAGGAGCATTTTTTTTTTTTGCATTTATTGCATTTTTCTTCTTTTTTTCAACCCAAATGACATGGAAACACTTAAAAAGGTGGAAAGACCTCTAATTGTTCTGTGAACAATTAGTTTACTAGTTATTCTTATTTTTTCGACTTTCTAATTTTGCACACGCGATTTCTTGAAGACTATTGGACGGATTTACATGAAATTTTCAGAAATAGTGTGCTGTAACATGAACTTGATCGATCTGAGAGAAAATTTGAAAATTCACTTCCGGTACCAAGTTTCTTATTTGAGCAACACACCTTATGATGTAGGCAAAACCATTTGGGTTCAGAGCGTCAGCCGTCACTTCCGGTCGTCACAGGAAGGGATCAAAGAAATTGAAAATTTCAATTTTTCTTTTTTTAATTAATCATTGCATTACTTTATTTTCGAAAAATTCCAAAGTTGTTGGTCCGACTGAAAACAAAAACGACAACTTCCGGTTATAAGAGAAAAACTAAATAATTTGAGTATTTTACTTTCCCATGAGTATTCTTTTTAGATAAAGCGTTTGAAATGAATTTTAAATATGTTATTCAGCCCAAATGACACTGAAAACACTTAAAAAGGAGGAAAGACCTCTAATTGTTCTGTGAACAATTAGTTTACTAGTTATTCTTATTTTTTCGACTTTCTAATTTTGTGCACGCGATTTCTTGAAGACTATTGGACGGATTTACATGAAATTTTCAGAAATAGTGTGCTGTAACATGAACTTGATCGATCTGAGAGAAAATTTGGAAATTCACTTCCGGTACCACGTTACAGACCATTTTCTGATGTCAAAATGACACTTTGTCCGCGGATAATCTCAAGAACGACAAGAGATATCAATGTCGAACTTTCAGGGATTATAGTTCGTGATAGATACTAGCCGGGTCGCTTCTTTTCGTTCGTCGTCGGCACTTCCGGTCGCTTTCGGAAGTGATCAAAGAAATCGTAAAATTTCAACTTTCTTTTTTTAAATCAATACTTACATCAAATTATTGCATCTCTTTTTTAGTTTCGGAATATGTTGGTCTCACCGGAAACAAAAACATCAACTTCCGGTGATAAAAGAAAAACTACATAATTTGAGTATTTTTCTGTCCAATTAATATCTTTTGTAGATAAAGTATTTGAATTTTGTCTAGAAGAACGTCAAATATTTTTGTAAAATTCACTTCCGGTTGCGTGTTTTTCTGTCCTCAAAATGAAGTTGTCTAAGGATTTCGAAAACGGTAAAAGATTAAGACACCAAACTTCTTTGAGCAACAGACCTTATGATGTAGGCAAAACCATTTGGGTTCAGAGCGTCAGCCGTCACTTCCGGTCGTCACAGGAAGGGATCGAAGAAATTGAAAATTTCAGGTTTTCTTTTTTTAATTAATCATTGCATCACTTCATTGCATCTTTTTCGCAGATTCCAAAGTTGTTGGTCCGACTGAAAACAAAAACGACAACTTCCGGTTATAAGAGAAAAACTAAATAATTTGAGTATTTTACTTTCCCATGAGTATTCCTTTTAGATAAAGCGTTTGAAATGAATTTTAAATATGTTATTCAGAGTGCAAATGTCTAGAGTAACCTTAACTATCTTTCAAAAATTCACTTCCGGCCGCGTGTTTTCCTGTCCTCAAAATGAGAAATTATCTGAACGAGATCTCAAAAACAGGTAAAAGAGATTAAAACACGAAACTTTTATGAGTAACAGACCTTGAAGAGTAGGCCAAACCATTTTGCTTAAACGCGTCAGTCGTCACTGCCGCTTGTCACAGGAAGTGATCAAAGAAATGAAAAATCTTAACTTTTCTTTTTTGAATTAAAACTTGCATCACTTTATTGCATCTCTTTCGCTGTTTTGAAATATGTTAGATTCCACGGGAAACAAAAACGTCAACTCCCGGTTTTAGGAGATAAACTATGTTATTTTGATATTTAACTTTCTTATAAAAATATTGCTTATCGATAAAGTACTTGAAATAATTTTATGTATGTTGTAGATACTGCATATGTCTAGAGAAAAGTCAGAGATTTTTTTTAATAAAATTTATTTCCGGTCAAGTGTTTACCTGTCCTCAAAATTAGAATTTGTTCTCACAATATTGCTCGGCAACAGTAAACGACTGAAATTTAAACATTTCAGGACTGATAGTCAGTCATCAGTTTATCTGAATCGTGAGAAAATCTTGTATCGCCGTTACTTCCGGTCGTGACAGGAAGTGATGCAAAAAAGTGAATGGTTAATGGTTAGCACGTTGGATTTTCACGCTGACGACCAGGGTTTAAATCTCCAGAGTGTCTGAATTTCTTTTATAACTTTTTCAGCTTGAATTTTCGTTTTTATTTTCAGAATCGGACGGAAGACCTTTCATTGCTCGCAATGAGTTTCTAGTTAAGGTCTTCCATCTTCACGGAAGACCTTTAAGTGATTCTACTGTTTCTTCTTCTTCTTATTATTTTTAAGGTCTTCCGTCTTCACGGAAGACCTCATAGTGATTCCACTATTTCTTCTTATCATTTTTTTCCCCAAAAATTTTGTGCAGGCGATTTCTCGAAAACTATTCAGAGGTTTTAAATGAAACTTTCAGGAATTATGCGTCGTCAAATGATCTTTGTTCATCAGAAGGAAAATTTGGAAAACTTGCTTCCGGTGCCATGTTATTGACAGTTTTCTAATTTTAAAATTAAATTTTGTCTCCCCTTTTTTCAAAAATGCCTTAAGTTATGAACTGGAGACTTGTTAGAGATGATAGATTATGACTTCTAAATGAGGGGAATTACCTTTTTGTTCGTCGTCAGTACTTCCGGTCGTTACTGGATGCGAATTTTTTAAAAAAGTTGAATTTTTAAACGTTTTGGTTTTTCGATATTTTTCTTTTATGTTAGTAGAGTTAATAGAGGCTCTTCTGAAAATGCTTAATATATAATTTATTTTAGAATTGATCAATCCAAACTCTAGATATTTGCATTTCTAAATTTGAAGAGGTAGTCCAAAATGGCGGCTGTCTCCGTTACCTCCGATGAGCAGGTCGAAGTTTACGGAGTCAGCCGAGCGTTTATTTGAATGAAACTACCATAAGGATCAAAGAAATGTGAAGGAATTATTGGATTGTCACGTCACAATTACGTTGCAATTCTGTTTCAAACTAGAGTTTTAATCCGAGGTTTCCTGAAACGTCTACTGTAATTGCCCTTGTCTGTATCTAAAAGTAGAAAAACGACATGACTACAAGTGGAAATACGATTACTACAACCTTATGTTTTGCACCACGAAAAACTGATCCCAAACCATGGTTATAAGTAATAGCTTTTCAAGAAACTTGTCTGACTAAAGCAATCAATGTATAGAAATTATTACGTGGTCATTGTTTTTTTTCCCCATGCGGGCTTGTGAACAGAAAAGACAAAAATAAGAAAACAATTTTTTAATGAAGTTGATATCAATATTTTTTCTGAAAGGTATCGGATTCCTTGACAGTCGCAGGACGAGACATGTTTTTCGGTGAAACATTCCAGTCTTTTCATGAATGTGTAACTAATCGGGGTAGTCCACTTTGGGGTAAACAGGAAAATAAAATTTTTAGAAAATCTTACCTAACTCACTGCTTTAGTGTTACTTATCCATACGATATATTATAAGTACAATGTGATAAATATACTTTCTAAAGCTCGAAATTCAGGTTATAAGAACATACATTTTGAAATTTCATTGAAGCTATCACCATTCAATTTGTTATTACATTTCGCGTGCATTCTCTTTATCAGTGGATTCAAATGTTTTAATCACAACATACCCAGGGCAAAGCATGGGTTCAATTCTTTAAATTGGAATAAAAGGGAAAACATTTTTTTTTAAATCTCCTACTTCACAGCAGAACCAAAGTGACTTAAGTGAGCAATGATACCCCTGGACCACTTTTTAAAAATGCTACTTTTTTCTTTCATAATAGATTGCATCGCATTGATAAGAAGATTACTGCAATATTCACCTTGTTATCGCCCTTCAATTGGAGAGGTACAGGAGGATTCATGGTTAACCGGCAAAAATTCGAATCCCAAACAACCTAATCATCGGAAAGGGGATGTGAGTAAAATCCTGTATTAAAAACGGTATAATATTACTTAACTAGACTGAATTTTTTACTTTTTTATCAGTTAGATAAAAATATTTATTACATTTTCAACAGTGAAATACTGTGATTTATTCATCGAATAAAAGTGATATTCTCTCACAGTGTGAAGGGATACCAAAGTCGTATTCTCTCACAGTGTGAAAGGATATCAGAGAAAGTAAAATATAATTTCTGGTCTGTAATAAGATTGAAATAGTAACTAAACCATCTTGACAGAGATTTAAACTGCCAATTTCTTCCCAAATATGTTGCTAAAATCCATGTTACAATGTCTTGTCATCTTACAACTGCAAAGCCATGACGTCTCAACTGCTCAACTATGACGTCACACAATTACATTGTGTTAAGAAAAGACAGAAGCGAAAGGAAAATCAAACAAAATGTAATAAATAGAAAATTCAATGTTTTGTAGTTGAACATGGAATTTATTTCACTCGTGAGACAGGATTTTTTTTTATATTTTCACTCGTGCTTCGCACTCGTGAAAATATAAAAAAAATCATGTCCCACTCGTGAAATAAATTCCATATCCAACTATAAAACATTGAATATCCTCTATATGCTTGTATATAAATGCTTCTTTTACTCAAAAAATTTAATCAGTGTAATATTTACAACAAGCACGTTGTTTATGAAAATCATAACCAAGTTCGAGCTTATTTGATTTTTTTTTATTTGGTCGTTAAATAATAAAATAACTTAAATCTTCTATCAACAGGATAAGGTTTCACCGAATGTTACACAAAAAATAAAGCAATCCAGCACAGAAGGTTATACGGGAATAGGTCCAGTGCAGAATTCTCATCCTGCCTGCTTCAAAACTACTGTATCCGCCAAACAAACAACTGTGACAGGGACGGTGACCCTGAACTATGATGCAGGGGAGACTGTCACCCTCAAAAGTCGTAAACGTCAGTATCTCAAACATTTGGGATCATATATATACTGTAGAAGCACAAATTTTCGTGGGGATAAATTTCGTTTTTCAAAAGTAGCTCTGTTCAATGTATAGCCATAAAAAATTGCGTCGGATTTAATTTCGTTGATAATTGTTTACATCGAAATAAAGGAAATTTATTCCCCAACGAATACGTCTGCATTTACAGTATATATATATATATATATATATATATATATATATATATATATATATATATATATATATATATATATATATATATATATATATATATATATATATATATATATATACTTTCATGTTGAATACTAAAATCTGATTAGTTATGACGCATTTAACAATCCGTTATGTTACCCTGAGCGTTAGCAACATACTTCACAACGGGTAATAGAGCAAAATGCCCCTTGTTCCCTGAAATCCTTTTACAATTTACACAGTAGCCTATTCATCATTTAGGAGATGGTTGGTGCTGTCATGTAGATGTGCGGTAAGGTTTCGGAATTTCATTATAACCCTGGGGGTCGAAAAATGACGTTTGTTTATGCAAAAAGTCCCTGGTTCCCTGGAATCCTCGTATATTTTCCACAGTAGCGTAATCATCTTTTGGGAGATGGTTGGTGGTGTCATGTAGATGTGCGGTAAGGTTTCGGAATTTTCATTTTCACCCTTGGGGTCAAATGGGGGTCGTTAAATGACTTTTTTAATGCAGAAAGCCCCTGGTTCTCTCAACTTCTCTTCCATTTTACACAGTAGCCTAATCATCTTTTGGGAGATGGTTGGTGGTGTCATGTAGATGTGTAGTAAGATTTTGGAATTTATAACCCTGGGGGTTAAATGTGGGTCGAAAAATGACGTTTTTTATGCAAAAAGCCCCTGGTTCCCTGAACTCTTCTTGTATTTTACACAGTAGCCTAATCATCTTTTGGGAGTTGGTTGGTGGTGTCATGTAGATGTCCAGTAAGGTTTCGAAATTTTGATTTTCACCTTAAGGCTCAAATAGGGGTCGATAAATGACCTTTTTTTATGCAAAAAGCCCATGGTTCCCTCAACTCCTCTTACATTTTCCACAGTACCCTAATCATCTTTTGGGAGCTGGTTGGTGGTGTCATGTAGATGTGTAGTGAGTTTTCAAATTTTCAATATAACCCTGGGGGTTAAATGGGGGTCGAAAATTGACGTTTTTTTTATGCAAAAATCCCCTGGTTCCCCGAACTCCTCTTACATTTTACACAGTAGCCTAATCGTCTTTTAGTAGATGGTTGGTTGTGTCATGTAGAAGTGCGGTAAGGTTTCGGAATTTTCATTTTCACCTAAGGGGTCAACTGGGGGTTGAAAAATGACTTATCTTATGCTAAAAGCCCCTGGTTCCCTGAACTCCTCTTCCATTTTACACAGTAGCCTAATCATCTTTTGGGAATTGGTTGGTGGTGTCATGTAGATGTGTAGTAAGGTTTCGGAATTTTCATTTTCACCTTGGGGGTCAAATGGCGGTCAAAAAATGACGTTTTTAATGCAAAAAGGCCCTTGTTCCCTGAAATCCTCTTACATTTTCCATAGTAGCCTACTCATCTTTTGGGAGATGTTTGGTGGTGTCATGTAGATGTGCAGTAAGGTTTCTGAATTTTCATTTTCACCCTAGGGGTCAAATGGGGGACAAAATTTGTTTTTTTTAATTTTTAACATGTTTAAACACCCTGGTTCCCAAAACTTCCATTATATTTCATGTATTAGCCTTGAAAGATGATTTGTTTTGTCCTGTGGTTGAAATGGTTGAAAAATTCGTATTTTCATGTGGATGGCAAATAGGGGCAGGAAAAAAAATCGCCCCTCCCTAACCCATGGGGTCATGATTTGTACAAACTTGAATCTACACTTCTTGAGAATGTTTCCATATTAATCATGCTTTTGTTTTTCTTGAAAAGAAGAATTTTGAAGATTTTTTTTCCCTTTTATTCTGATTAAAAACTTTGATCTCTTATTGTGGCCTGACCCTATCCTCAGAGGTCATGATTTGAAAAACTAGAAATATGTCCATAGGACATGAATGCCCCACCGAATGTATATTACTAATGCAACATGAAAATTTGTATTAGTGTATGAAGTTTGATGAGAATTTCTTGATCAGTTTTTCTTTAAAATTGAAACTAAAATCTAAAAAATTGGATATAGATGATAAATTCTCACCAAATTATGTATAAGTGCATGCTTAAATAAAAATATCTTAGATTGTTTCTGTAAAACTAAGCAAAATACAAATTAAGGAGAAGGGAGGTCAAGATCACAGGAAAGTGCAAGGTAAAAAGTTTTTGATCCAGTTGAATAGTTCTCAATAATATATATGAGCATATTAGGTTTCATAAAAATATCTTGAATGATTTATTTAAAACTGAGCTTAACACTTATTTAAGAAAAGAGAGGTCAAGGTCAAGGGAAATGTTGAGATCAAAATGTTGATGCAGTTGAAAAGCTTACATCAGTATGTATTTACTATTAGCACATGAAGTTTGATAAAATTATCATGAATGGTTTATTTAAATCTTACATAAACACAAAGAAGAAGGTATGGTTTTAGCTTTATCGTGCCCTAAAAATTTAATGTGTTCAAAAAGTTTTGAAATTGGCTCAAATATTAGTTGAGTATATGACTGTGATAAATCAAGAAAGAATATGGCATGAAGAAGTACCATTCTGGAAATATGACGTCATTGATTTGATTGATTTCTCTTTTTTAAACATAAAAAGCCTCAAAATGACCCATTTTAAGGATTATTTTCCTTAGGAAAATAGTGTCCACAGCCGTCGCCCACTTTAATTTTCAGATATGTTGTGTAAAATTCTTTGAAAAATCACATATCTCAAAATCTTTGTGGGCGATGCCTGTGGACAATATTATCTGAAAGAAAATTCCATTGAAAATATGTGTCTTCTGCAACTTTTTAAGAAAATACGGGAAAATACACAAGTTTATGACGTCACAATTAGCATTTAGAAGGTTATGTGGGACAAAAGATTTGTATGATCTTTCTACATGGAATTTCAATGATTCAAAAAGCACGAGTTTTAATTTTTTACATCACTTTCATTTATATGAAAAACACAGGGCGAGATTTGTATTGAAACCGTACCTTGTTCTTTAAAAAAGTTAGGTCAAAGTCAAAGGAAAAGTCAAGGTAAAAAAAAGTTGATGCAATTGATAGCTGTCAGCAATGTATCAGCATATAAAGTTTGATAAATATATCTTGAACTTGTTTATTCAAAACTGATTTAGACATTAATTTAACAAAAGTTAGGTCAAGGTCAAAGGAAAGATCAAGACCATAAAGGTTGATGCAGTTGAAAAGCATACATCAGTATGTATCAGCATATGAAGTTTGATTACAGTAACTTGAATGGTTTCCTTAAAACTGAGCTAAACACTAATTTAAAGAAAAGTGAGGTCAAGATCAAAGGAAAGGTCAAGGTCAAAAACTGTTGATGCAGTTGAATAGCTTACATCAGTATGCATCAACATATGAAGTTTGATAAAAATATCTTGAAAAGTTTCTTTGAAACTGAGCTTTAAACTGAGCTAAACGCAAAGCGCGACGGAAGAACGGAAGGATGGAAGGACGGAAGACGGACATGACAAACACTATATGCCCCGGCCATATTCATGGCGGGGCATAAAAAACTTGAATCCACACTATATGAGGATGTTTCCATATCAAAATGACTAACAAGCAAATTCAAAGAATTGTGGTACCCTGCTTTCCGTGTCTTAGTGGATGGGATGCCATTATTTATGGCATATTGTGTCAAATATGCACGCCTTATCATATGTCATTCAAAAGTAATCACCAAAGTTAAAATTTTTGAAAATTAAGTAAAACATCAAGGTCAAGGGGTAAAGAAGTACCCGAGGATGCTTTGTGGCAAGGTTGGTTGAAATTGGCCCAGTGGTTCTAGAGAAGAAGTCAAAAATGTGAAAAGTTTACAGACGGACAGATGAACGACAGACAAAATGTGATCAGAAAACCAGAAAAGCTCAAGTGAGCTAAAAACTTATGATCACAAGTACTTGGAAAGAGTTACAGTATTTGAAAAGCAGGGTTTTTTATGCATTGTTTTCAGAAGCTGAAAATGTATGACTTGTATCCATGTTGAAAAAACTGCACATTTCAGAAAACAGTATGATTAAAAATTTATAGTTAATCAAGGTGTTTTGAGTAGGAAAATAAAGTTAAACTGGTATAGCTAATTCAACCACAGAGCTTTATCAATTTTGAGATGCACAGCCTTTTCAACTCTTAATAATTCTTAAAATATTTAAACCATCATTTCTGATTCAAGGGGGAACTAGAAATATGACCAGAAGTATATCCGTTGGCTAATAAACATGTACATGTATATTGTGTTTTTTAAGTCATTAATGTTTGTTCCCTCTCGGGAATTTTTCATTCATATGGAGACACCTGTCACCACTTAAAAATAATGAAGACGTAATGAAAACGTACAAGTCGGATTTGAGGTTAACATTCATTTTAGGAGTTTTCTACAATTAAGACGTAAAGAGATAACTTCTTCCCCTCGCCCCTTTCCCTTCCCAGACCCTTGTTTGTTCATGTATGCAAACTAATACTTTGTTTTGACATAAAAAAAATGTGAATATATACAAATAGTTTAATGGTCCATCTCTTTGATTGTTTTTCATTCCTAATTCTAGGAGGGTGGGTTGGCCCAAATTCATGAATGAAATGTCAAGCAATCTTATAATTGATGCACTTTTATTTAATTTAATTATATTGTGAACATTTCCTGTTCATTAAGAGAGTGGGGATGACCTCCAGGGGTTCATAACCCTTATACCATTAGATGTACATAACATAATAATACAAGAAACAAAATTATGTATAGTCAAATGGAAAAGTTTTCTATTTTGGAGTCACATGATCATTTGTCATTTCAGGGACAGGGAGCGGCTAGGGAGATCGGACCCCCCTCCCCTCCCCCTGG